AATCGGCAACTTCACCACTAGATGCCACTAAATCCTACACACTGGTCCTTTAAGTCTGGTGGTACAGTAGCTTCCTTACCCTTGCCAGACAGCAGTAGGGTGAGCAGCTTGGATTATACTGTTCTAAAATATTATTAGTATATTCTGTTTCAAGCAAACACCACACCACATCAAACTACAACCTCAGAAATGCCCCTATCATAACACCTTCCTGACAAACTGTCTACAGCAATTTAAGTACAAAATTCATAATGGAAGAACTGTGTAGCTGCAGAAGGCATTAAGTAACTTTAATTATATGTCATTATTCAGTGCTATTCTACTGTACAAACTGCAGTAGTTATTGCCATATTGATGTTGCCATACTGTACATTAAATATTTTTCCTGCAGTAGCTGTATGTTGTTTTATGCTTTACTTGTGAAGAGGAGGTTTTGAAGGTTTTCTTCCTTTGTTTTATTATTCTCCTTCATTGTTATTTTGCACTCCATAAAGCTCAGCCACATGATCATAATGACTTGCATGTGCGATTTGTTATACTTATTGAACTTCATGCACTCCCACTCAATCTATTTTCAATACCATGGAATGTTATTACGTAAACTGCTGGTATTTATAATTCCCCTTATTTGCCTGGATAGGTTGTATTCATTTGATGCCCCAGAGACCACTTTAGTTGTCACTTATTGTATCTCTACTTTCATCTCCTAAAAAGAAGATTATGGATTCAATGAAATGATAAATGACCCTGTGTTTTATCTGTGAAATGCCATTTAAGACATAAAATGGTCTCAGCAAAAGACACAATGCTGCAATTAGCTATCTGGGTAGTGATTCTAATTGGCCTTGAAGCCTGCTGATGGGAGGAGACTTGACCTTCATTAGAAGGTGTGCAGTGCCAATTAGCCTGAGCAGCCAAGCCTGGAAGAAGAGGTCACCTGGCTCCACTTTCCCACGACAGGGTGCTCTCCTAACTCTCAGCCAGCGACATGATCGAATATTCTCTATATACAGTAGAAATTCATTAAACTATTTCTACCTTGTTACTGTGTATGGTCCATGTAGATTTTTAAAAATGACTCAACGGTATAAGAGCCTGTTCCTGTAAGTAATTTCCACAACTGTAGTTTCAGTATGTAAAACTCAAAATCAAACCCTGTAGTCTAGAATCTTACTTTCTGTAGACTACGCTGCTCTAAATCCTACATTTATGCTGTTCTGCATCTGTGTATAAAACAGTAAAACACAAATTACACAATTTTGAGACTAAATAAAAACAAATAAATGGATTGTAGAGACTGAAGTAATTAGCAGTTGTGTGGCAACCCAATCCATAGTGTCAAAAATATGAAGAAAGGTCTGTAAACACCTGCAGCCCTGATACAGCGGTATGGATGTCTGAAACACTGATGTTGTGGTATTCAAGTAAGAATTGAATATGTGGTTTAGTTGTAAGCACTTTAATTGTTAGCACAACATTTTTTGTTCAAGTTGCCTCTTTTCATTAATACGTTTGCATATTGAAGCTCTGCTGTGAAAATTGAACCAATGCAATTGTAAAAGTACTGATGTATAAAAAAAAACATTACAAATCATTCTAAAAATTGGCAAATAGAAACAGTTTACTTCCTCAAGACAGGGATGTGAGACAAAGTTGTTGTCAGTCCCTCCAGGACTTTTTTAGCATTTTTGGGGCCTAAAATGTTTGTTTTTACAGCAGATATTCTGAAAAGTTGTGATGCATGTTGAGATGTGGTGTTTTTTACAATGAAATTGTGGGAGAAAGTGAAAATTGCAAAAACATCTTTTTTCCAGTCATAATAAAATTCCACTGTTTGAAAAGGGTCAGTGTGAGCGTCTTAGAAACCAGGAAGTGAGTTTGGAGACGTATTGCTCAAGGGTTTCTGCAGGAAACTACATTGACTGGTCAAATTTGTGATGATTGGACGAAATTGCAAAATTGAATTTGCCTAAATTGTTGTGCAACATCACAACTCCTGGAGGGACTTAGCCAAACACTATTTAAAGGATTCTCATATTTTTGTCAGCAAATCCCACGTGCAGAGCCAAACCAACAATGAATGTATCCCTCTAACACGTATTGTCTGTGTATATCTCATTCCTTTGTGCCATAGACAGTCCCTCCAGGAAGTTGCAATGTTGTGCAACAGTTTATGCAATTTCAACCGATCCCCGAGAATTTTGTTCAATCACAAGCAACTTTTCGGCAAATAAAACTCTTCTGGGTTTTACCAATCTTAGCACTAAAACGTGAGCCATATGTCACCAAACTACTAAGGTTGTGAATCTTTTGGTATTTCACGATTCAATTCTATTTTGATTCTTGGTCATGGTTTGATTTAAAACAACTCTCGATTGAGTACACAGCGGTGCTCATTCCAGGATCTACTCCAGCCCGCCGTGCGGTAAGAAAGCCTCTATATATACTCTCGTATTAAATGAGTCATCTCAGGTTCCTTCTCCCCCGAGAGATTGTAGAATCCAAAGGGAGCCCAAACGCTTGCCTTCAGTGGAGATGGGACTGGCTGAATTTCCTGCTGCTCAGTTCTAGCTAGTCTACCGAGTACAAGAACTGACATTTCAAGATGATTCGATTGATTAGCTAGTAGCTACATTGCTTGCTGCAGCTGTGTATTTCAGAAGGCAGAGTGGGTGCACAGAAAGTCTGCATTTGCAGCAGTGAAGATTCTTAATTATAGTTAAGATGCAAAAAAAAATGTAAAAATATATTATATATATATATATAAGTTCTGAGTTGATTCAGAATCGTAAAAGATAAGAATCACGATTCCTACGTAAACTCAATCAAGTTGCCTTTGATTTTTAATGAATTATACAAAAAAATATCTAGGACATATTTTTGTGATTTCCACTTTGTCCTGCAGTTTCATGCAAAAAAAGCAGGCATTTTAGGCCACAACAGTCCCAAAAAAAAACCTGTGAAATCCTGGAGGGAATGCATAGGGCTCCACTGTTGTTCAGTCTATCAAACAAAACACATCAGTGAGCCACACTGTTGCACTGTTGTTCTCCATTACCATGAACACACACACTTTATTTTGTCTCAATCTCACAAAAAACTGTCCTGCTGCTCGAAATACTCACTAGAGCACCAAATGTGTATTAATCCGCTGCTGGAAATAGTCCCCAACAAATACATTGTATCCTTCTGTTAGTAACGTTTGATAAAAACTACAGTGATACTCGAATGCATACTTGTTTGCTGGCCCCATCTAAAGAATACTTATGGTGGCAGTGTTGATTTCTCACTTGCCGTTAATCCCTCCAACTGTCTGAGCAATCGACTCACCCCCTCCAGAGCAGGTTCCTGCTTATTTGCATGGGACTGGGCCCATGCTTTGCATTTCATATTATTTCCCCTGACTTATCCTGCCTAGGCCTTTCCTTTCCTGCCCTCCCACCCCCACCCCTTCACACACAAACACGTGCACATCTTATCCTCTCTCTCGCTCTTTCTCTCCCTCCCTTCGGTCAATCCCTTTGAGTCCCTCTCTCTCATTATGAAGTGTTAGAAAGTTGCTGGAGTGAGAAATGAGCCTGCGAAAGCTCGTTGTCCTAATTAAACTTTGACATAAAGGGTGACAAGAAGCGACGAAGGGGAAACAATAGCAGACTGTGTATGAGTGCAAGTCCGGAGCAAGCAAGCGGCTTTGTCCCCCAAGAACAAAAGCATTTGTTTGCATGTGTTCAACTCCATTCAACTTCACCAGGCCCAGGTGCAAAAACCAACTTTGCGAGGAACATCACAACTCATAACACCTTTGCACAGTTGACGAACAGCCTGCGGTCGGCCCGAATAGGCCGACAGAAGCAGATCAAAGCTGCTGTGTTGCGATGTAAATATTGTGCAGCAGAATGGATTCCGTCTCATTACTTTCACAGCCTGCACTGAAAGATGCAGCCAAATGATTGGATCTTTCTCTCGACTCTCCCTGCTATTCTCACACACACAGCTTGTGCCCACCAGTTAAGAATGAAAATAAAAATTGTATTTATTCACCATTTTCATGACTGCTAATGGTAGCCGCTGCCTCACAGCCCTACTTACTGTATGTACAGTAAGAGGGCCACAGTAGATAAACCTAGGCACACCACCATCTCAACAATCTACAAAACATTAGTAATAAATACAAATGTTTCTGAATGTTTCCAAGGTGCTGCAAGAACAAGAATACCCTCAGATAAGGGCCCTTGAGAGGCAGGCCATGCAGGGGCGGAGTTGGGCTCTCCTCAACTGCTTTGTGAGGAGGGAGGAACTCCACATTCTTATAAAAAGCCAGTGGATGGGCTGACAGTGTTGAGTAGACGGAGCAGACAGACTGGCCCTGGACTGTACTGCTGACCTAGAATGGCACAGAACGGAACAGCAGAGAATGGAGTGGCCGAAGAGATCCCAGCTTCGCCTTTTCCTCAGCCTGTCAAAGTCCAGGATATCAGACACACCAAGGTAAGGGGGCTCTGCACAGAGTTAGACCAGGTTCAGCTGCTGCAGGTAGACAGCTCGGGCATTTACTCTGTGTGCTTTTAGCTTTGGTGCTGGTATAAATCAGGTGTCAGCTAAGGCACAAACACTCTCCACTTTCCACAGATTTTTATCGACAATGAATGGCACACATCCATCAGAGGAAGGACATTCCCAACTTTCAACCCAGCGACAGGTGTCAGAATCTGTGATGTGGAAGAAGCAGACAAAGTAAGAAGGCATCAATTGTGGACTTTATTAAAAAATGTTACTAAGAATATATAATTGAACTTAGTGTAGGCGTACATGCTCTACCACTTATTGAGTAATTCCTTAAATTAAAATATTTTCTGCTTTGCTGCAAGTCCTTGGCTCTAATCCCATAGGAAAAAGTTGTTGTTTTTTGCCAAACTTCATTTAAATATTTGTTGATTTAAGGTTTTGTGTCGGTCAGTAGGACTATCTATATATTACAGCATAACATGTAATCACATGGATAAGGACTTTTTGCCGAATTCGGTCCATAGGCTTTCAACAAACTAGCTTTGACAATAGAATTGTACACTGCTGTTTACTGCACGCCACGCACATTTCTGATAACGTTGGAACCCATATTCTTCTAAATAAATGTACTAATTTTACTACCAATACTGGTATTGCTTCAGAATGGCAAACTGGCCGTGAAACTATCAGAAAGTCATCCTGTGGGAATGTGCTGGAGCCTACTTTCTTCTCTCTGTGCAGGAAGATGTGGATAAGGCGGTGGAGGCAGCCAAGGCGGCCGGGCAGAGAGGCTCTCCGTGGCGGAGGGTGGACGCGTCCAGCCGGGGCAGGCTGCTGCACAAACTGGCCGACCTGATGGAGAGGGACCGGCTGCTGCTGGCGGTGGGCTCACTCCCAGTGCTCTCTTTAGGCTGTTAACGTTTCCTCCCTCGCTGTAGACACAACGGGACTTTTCGGAATTGTTCGTAGCCTTCGTAGTGATTCCGCATTCAGTACATACACCTTTACTAAATGAGATTTAAAGTATGGCTTGATTTATGTATGCAGTTCAATTACTATAGATGAAGTCAATTAAATGGGATTGATGCGCTACTCCTGTTGTTCAGTTAAATAATATAGAAAACAAATAAGTTAATAAGTTAATATTCTTAATTATTGGAAGCGAAGGAATTTATTACAAACTAAATATCAAATAATTCCAAAACCTAACCTCCAAAAACTAGGCTGAAACAGTGTAGCAAAAACATAATGACAAGAAGAAGAATTTGAAATTGATCAGTGCCATGGTGATTTTATTGTTGACACAGCAGGTTTTTATTCTGACTACAGATCACTGATTTCCACTGTTAGAAAAATCTGAAATGAATATTTAAAATATCTTGCACTTAAAGTAAAAGTAACAAACTCCATTACAAGCAAGTCTTGCATTCAAAATTTCACTGAAATAAAAGTACAAGATTGTTACAAGCTAAATGTACTTTAAGTATCAAAAGTGTAATTACTCATTATGCAGAGATATATTAGTGTATATTATATTTTTGGATTATTATTATTACGGGTGCATAATAATGCATTATGGGCATCATATTTTATTGTCATTATAGGGAAAATCTCAATCTGTTACAATAAGTAGCTGTCAGATAAATGTGGTGGAGGAGAAAGTGTAACATTTCCTTTCTGAAATGAACTGTGCTGTACTGAAGTAGAAATATAGAGTAAGAGGATTGGAACTTGGTATTGAAGTACTTGCAATGGAATATTAATTTACTTTCCAGCACTGATTTTCATTGTTTTTTGGATCTTTCCCCTTAATAATTATAAATCCCGTGTCAGATCTAAACAAGCACTGGACAGTATGATATTCCCATAATCTCCAGTTCCTGCAGTATAACCAACTCCTGTATGTTTCAACTGAATGCCACTAAAAGGCATTGTTAGCATTGCTGGTTCAGACATTGTTAATAACAATAGGAGCAAGTACTCTTTCAAAAGCAACAACTTTATGGGATTTGTGGGAAGTGTGTCCATGTGCTGTCATGATATTGACTTATTCATATCTGGGCTTGGCCTATATTATTGCATGACATCATGACACTGTGGCCCCACCCCGGCCCTCTCCCTTTCTCTTCGTAATGATTGCTGGATGTTACTCTCCCTCTCTCTCAGATATTGTTTGGAATGAAATCCCTGTTGCTGTGCCTTTCCACTCTGTTTAGCTGCCAGCTTGCATTAAGACTTAGATCTGTAAATGAACCCTTACAGATGTGAGTGAAGTAATAATACCAGATTGCATGTGACTGCTAATTGCAAACATGCTCTGGAGTGGTAGTGTGGAGGGTACGGCTAATTACACTAAACTCCTAGCTATGTTTGGGGAAATAAGGACCAGATTCAGACCATTTAAATGTACAGTAAAGTGCTACAGTGGCTTCAGGATCTGCCTCTTATTTTTCCTTTTACAGTGAAATAAAAGCAACTCCAGTAAACATGGAATAGATGTTTGAGAGGAATAGTGTGCACAATATAGAGTAAACCATGTCTGACAAACATAATCATTATTATGCCTTAACATAATCAATTATAAACTCAGTTTTATGCTTGTCTTGCTGCCATATATTTATAAAGACATACTGCAGTGGACCAGTGTGGCTGACATCCCACTGCACCACCCTTGGATCCACATAGAGGCTGCCCCGCCAGCTATTTCAGCCTCATACAACCCACTGCCTTTGTTAGGCCCTAGATTAATTCACCTTTATTATAGTAATTATTATTATTATATCTGGAACCGGCAAGCATAACATCATAATAAATTCCTAGTATATTGTATAACAGAGAAATAAAACAGTCTAGATGGCCAACAGTCAGTTTATCGGCAACCTGCGCTGTGCAAGGAGAGGCCTTGGAAGGTAGCGGGGGTATTTATTTAAGCATTACTCCAGTTTATTTCGGTCTTATGCTTGTCCAATATTTCCATCAGTTATAATAACAGTGTATTTGCCAAAGTAATTGCTGAGATCTGTAACACATCACTACAATGAAGCCCGAGCGGTCAGATGATCAGACAGGTTGGAAACAAGGCAACAGTTTGTCCAGATTATCTACATCACTTCATTTGGAGGTCAAACCGAAATTGAGTGAAATGCGGCTAATCACCCTTCAAAACACTAAGTAAGCAGGAAGTGGGTCTGTAAACTGTGATACATGTTTACAACACACAGTTTGTTCAATCATTTTTCAATTTGGCTTCATTTTGTCCTCCAGAAAAGGAGTTAAGAGATGATTACAGGGGTAGGAAATAAGAAAAACCTCAATTCTGTTTATTTTTTCTGAAGTCAAGTCAAACTATACGAAGAGGAAAAACTACTCTTTAGTTGAGCCACTCACAAATCAAAGCGCAAGATATTGTGAGGCAGAGGTCCAAAGTATAGACTGCTTCATCTGGAGAGATCACCTGAGTACAATGTTACTGATACTGATAGGAATGAAGGCCAATACTACAGAAACAAGAGTTGTAATAAATTATAATTACTCTGTGGCTGGGGCTCAGGAAGTAGAGCGTGTCGTCCACTAATCAGAAGGTTGACAGTTCGATCACAGGCTCTTCCCACTGCATGTCGAAGTGNNGCTCTTCTCGCTGCATGTCGAAGTGTCCTTGAGCAAGATACTGAACCCCAAATTGCTCCTGATGCAATTGGTGTATGAATGTGAATGAGTATTAGTTTCTGTATGTAATGAGCCTTTGAATATGGGTGAATGTGGCATGTATTCTAAAGCACTTTACCATTAAATGTTTTTTAAAAGTATTTAAGATTGATGCTAGTTTCCCTGTTTTCTTTAGACCCTGGAGACTCTGGACACAGGGAAGCCTTTCCTGCAGTCCTTCTTCATCGACCTGGACGGAAGCATAAAAACTCTTCGTTACTACGCGGGCTGGACCGACAAGATCCACGGCAAGAGTCTGCCTATAGGTGAGTGTGTGTCATGCTCTTCTTCAACAACTCAAACCATCATGGCCGACCAGTTGGGAGGTAACATTAAAAGCATCACATGTACATATATAAGACAGTAAGACAGCAGAAAACCTAAAAAGAGAGCGAGAAAATTAAACAATAACTGTAAATGATGCAGGCAGGGGTGTCACTAAAAATTAGAATTATATACCAGGGCTAACCAGTATTTATACCATGGTTACGCTCTTGATTATACATAAAGTATACATACAGCACTGTAATGCGATAAGTTATTTTAACCAAAAACAATTGTTGAAACGGATTACATCGGAAATTTTAAGTAACAGCTACTCAAAAGAGAGCTTTTACTAGTAATTTTAATGACGCAAAGTTCTGTGAGTTAAAGAAACATTCCTGATTAAGTACTTTTTACTAGATATTTTGTTTTCACAGTAAAAATAAAAGTTACTAAATTAAGTCAGTGTCACTTAGAATTATTGAACCCACTTGAGCAAGAATGTTTTTCAACTTGCAAAATTGAGTTAGTTTTACTTGATGTAATCCGTTTCAGCAATTTCACAAGTTTAGTGAACTTATCTGGTTTTACATTCAGTATATAATGTTATATACTTTAAATATCAACACCTTCCATCCTCCTTCAGTGTCTACACCCGATGCATTCAGGCACAGTACTGCTGCGTAGGTCACCTGCATTTTGGCAGCACTAAGAGCTCGATCACTGTCACAGTAGTTATGTGTGAAAATCAGAAAAACAGATAGACCTGGAGACTTGACCCTGGGTCACAGTTACTGAGACACTATGTGCCTATTTAAACAGCTTAATTGTTTGAAATATAAGCATACCTTCTCCATTAGATTGACAGCTGAAAAACACAGATAAAATGCCTCTTGTATTGACAGAAGTATATACGTGTTAGTTTATGGTGTACAACCTGCAGTGATGGGAACTCTTTTTTGTGAGCCAGATCATTTGGCTCAGCTCAGCAATAACAGTCAGATCTTTCGGCTCCCACTTCTGGATTTTATAATTCAGCCAAATTTAGCAATATTTTGACCAAGAATTGCAATGAGTAGACATTTATCACTAAAATGATAAAATTTAATTATCCTAAAACTTATCATTTCCAGAATACCGCAATCATATTCATATTGATCTATATTTTGTATGTTGGCAACATACAAAAGTCTCATCATGCTTGGGTTTTATTGTTATTACGATACCATTTCTGCACTGTATTTAACAAATTCATTTGTATTGTATTCATTTTTTTTAAACAAACGAAAGAAAAAAGGATCCTTGTCTACAAAATACATCATTAATCATTTGTACTGTAGTGCAAAACAAATTCTGCATGCATTAAAACAGAGCCTGTGGGTGACAGGAGTTTTCTTTTTCTTTTACTGTTGTAACTTATGTAGTCATTTATTCTCTTAAATTAATAACTCATGCACAAATTAGTCATTTGAATTACTTAATTCCCATCATTACAAACTATTTGATTTGTGTTCTCAAATTATTGTTAAATCAATGTAACAGCAGGAACTCATGTGTTCTGTTATTGTGGTGGCTATAATTACTCAATTAATGTATTTAATTATTTATTCAATCACACATTTGAGAGCATGAATTATTAATTTTTGCTCGTAATTTAGTTTTCTTTATGAGCTCCATACAAAATAAAGCAAAATGGCTATAACGTTGAGTTTGCACAAGATAATTATTAGTGCACTACAAACACAGGGGAACTTTTTGCACGTCTCCTCAGGGGCTCCGTAACCAGCGTGCCGTTGGGAAACAAGTTAATTACTAAAGACCAAGTGGCTCAGGGTTGTCCTCAGCCCTGGGTGGTATCTCGTCCAGCCTCTTAATACTTCCCCCTCTCGTCAGATCCTACTTTGCGTCTCCCCTGCAGGACAGCAGATAGACAAAACATGCTTGCCTTTTCCTCCCGATTAGATACCAATAGAGCGGTGAGAGACGAAAGGCGCGGCAGGACAATGGGAAGAGGAAGAGGCTGAGATAGTAATCAGTGAGGTGCAACAGTCTGTGAGGATTAACAATCAGTGTTGGCTCAATGCCTTGCTGAGCCGGCAGCCACTCAGCCAGTAATCCCCACTTCTTTACTGGAGTAGTCTCACTACCAGTCATTAAGACGAGACACATTGCTGAGGTATAGTTTATTACGGAAACTGGAGCAGAACCTTAGGCTACACGCACACTGTGAAATGCAGACTGGAATTTAAATTTAACAAACATGCTTTGGGGCTGCTGCGTAGACTGCTAGTTTCACTGGATGCAGTTGAAGCCAGAGTAACCATTTTTCTGGAGTCATAGACTAATCACTGATGTGTAGTGGAAATGTCAATAATTGCTAGAACTTTCTCCTTCATTCTAAATGTACTGACTATTGCTAACTAGTGCATTGCCAACAAATTCTCATTCCCAGCTCGTCACATACCGCTCTTAATAAGACACAAGCTGGGGTGCCCTGATAGCTCACCTGGGTTCGAATCTGACCTGTGGCCCTTTGCTGCGTGTCATCTCCCCTCTGCAGTCACTATCATGGCAATAAAACCCCCCAAAACATATTTAAAATAATAACACACAAGCTCCCCCCATTTATGAAATTTTGGGGTGTTTCTAAAACATTGACAATGTGCTATTTTTGCCATGAATTTCTATTTCTCCATCATTGTGGATCATGCATGAAATTAGACCACTATTATTGATGATTATTGTGCTCATCTTTATGTGATGGTTAACAGTTGTTGATAAGGACCCCTCGTAGGCAACCTTTTGATTTAATGCTAATACATGTGTGTGTTTATAGGCTGTTTTGCTATTTTACCGGTCCGTGTCTAATTTTTGCCTACAACCTATAGAATACCTAGAAAATACCTATGAGTGAGCTCTGCGAAAGCCATGGCACTCTGGCTGTGGCATGGCAATAATGAAGCATTCTGGACAGTTAACACTACTTTTCCAGTCAATAACAAGTCAGTCAGTCGACAGATTGAGACAGATAGAACAAAACATGGGCAAATAAAACCAAAAGCACCTGAACTGTTACCAGTAGGGTAAAAACTTTTACTTTTCATTTCACTCATTCTTCTTACCAGAAGTGTTCTTATCATGTTTGTCTCATGTTGACATTTGCTGAATCACTGCTACTTCAGACATAATATGTGATTCATCAGCTGCTTTCATTTTCAGTTTGACAGAAAGTGCAATTTTGACATTAGTTTATCGGCCCCGCTTAAGCCTTCAAAGATCAGTCATGCCATCGCCAGGAATAAGTGATAAAAAGTTTAGTTTACAGCAGTATAGTTTATTTGACATTATGAAAAACTGCACATTAAATTACACAAGTCCTGGTGACAAGTAACAACCAGTAAACCAGTACAACAAATACCAACATTATTGTCAGTAAAATTGATTGCTCTAAGCCAAACGTAAATCATAAAAATACATACAAACAAAATATTATTTTATTATTTTATTTAATGTGCAAAGTTTACTATTCTAATTCCTGGTGCTACAGGATCTAAAGGATCAGTTACCCACGTTGGTATTCAACCTCAGCAAGCAACAAGTTAACCACACTCACTTGTACATACGAGTTCTTTGAAATACTATGTATCACACTAACTTATAGTTGTACAGCTCGAGCGTGCTAAAGTGATATTGCTGTTTGATAGTACTTCAGACTACACCAAGTACATAAAAAAAGTCATTTATCAGTTTTTGATTGTGGGGAAACAGTAAAATTCCTCTGGGCCAAATCAAATCACACACATATTTGGCTCATTTGATAACTAAGGTAATTATTAATATAATATTATTTCACTTCCATTCACTGGACTATTCTTTCATGCATGAATTGTTGGAGGTAATACATTTAAAATCAATCAATTAGTAAGGGAAAATTGTTCGGAGCCCCCGCTGGGGAGTCCCTCGTCCCACTTTGAAAACTTATGAACTAGGGCGATACTGGTTTCAGTTTCAATTCAAGTTTAGAAAGTTTATTTGAAAAGTTTATTTAAACATTTTAATTTATCATTGTTGTAGGCTTAAAGTGATTCTTACATTACAATTACACAACAAATAAAAAATGTTTTTAACATTTTGTCAACTAAAGTATAAGTTTTGTCCTGACCTGACACCTTTTCCTTTATAGCTACCTAGCTATGGATTCCAAATTCAAAAGAAGAATTGGAGGAAAGCTACATTAGCAGTTAGCGGAGTTGAGGCAGAGCAGCCAGAGGGCATCTGAGGGAAAACCAGATATTATTTTCTCCATAAAATATGACAATTTCACACATATCACTGATAAAGTTGAGTTATTTGTACAGTAATCAGTGAGGTCTGGCCTGTTGCTAGCTAGCTAATATACTAATATCTTCGCTCTGTATTTTATTATTTCATCTGGTTGAGATGGAGTTAATTCTACTGTAGGGGAACAATAGAATAATTTCACTCAAGTTTCCAAAATCATTGATCCCCAAAAAGCATTCAATACTGTTTACTACTAGGAAGTTGTCAGATATTAGTTTCTGTTCATAAACATACTTTTTTTTTTCACAGATTATCTGT